TCTCTGCAACTCAAAATTCCACAGTCTTTCTTCATTTAAGTAAAGCTTTCTCATTCTTCCTTATAAAGTGAACAACTTTACATTTTCACACATTATTATCTCTCTGCCAGATGTTTAGCCAGCTACTCCAACCTGTCAATATCCATCTGTAGCCTTGTTATGACTTCTTCAAAACACATTTGCCTACCCATCACAGTGTCATCTATAAATTTAGCTACCATGTCTTTGCTCCCCTCGTCTAAAGCATTGATGTAAATTGTAAAAGATTGAGGCCCCAGCACAGACCACTGTGGAACGCTATTTGTCACGCCCTTCCAATCAAAGACCTATTTATACATAATCTCTGATTGCTGCCAGCTAGCCAATCTATGCTAATATGTTACTCCCTTTACCCGATGTTTTCATTTTCTGCAATATTCTTTGGTGTGGCATCTTGTCAAATGCATTCTGGAAATCCAGATAGACCTTTTACTTAATCGAGCAAATTTTGGAAAACACAGTGAATCTACTAGCTAATTGGTACCTCATTTAAGTCAGTAAGATGAAGTCCATCAGGCTTGGAGACCTGTCGGCCCACAGTTCTATCAGTTTGCTTAGCACCCTACTTTCGTGGTTGTAATTTCATAAAGTTTCTCCCTCCCTTCCACTTTCTGACTTACCTCTATTACTGAATTTTTTTTCCCAAAATCTCTTTATTATCTACTAGTAACTCTTCATTCACATTCTCTGGAGGCCAAAAACTCAGTACGTTTTTTTCTTTTTTAAATACATTTCCACTTTTACATTCCTAGTTAGCTTCTTATCATACTCTGATTTCTTCCTTCTGATTAACATTTTAGTCATTCTCTGTCATTCTTCATATGCAGACCAATAATGTAACCTGCCACTCATCTTTAAATTGTTATATGCTTTTTCCTTAAGTTTGATGCTTTCCTTAATTCTTTCAGTTCATCACGGATGGGGATCCACCCTTTTAGGATTGTTCTGTCCTGAGTATTCTGAAATATCCACGTAAATAGTCACCAATGTGTGTATATTCATCTATCCCCTGGCCTAGTGTGCTAGTTCATTTCAGCTAGCTCACCTTTTATGTCTATATAGTTACTTTTATCTAAGTTTAAAATACTAGTCTTAAATCTAATCTTTCCCTTTTCAAACTGGATGTAAAATTCAATCATATTCTGGTCACTGCTCCCGAAGGTACTTTTATTCTGAAGTAATTAACAATCACATTACACAATATCAAATTTAATGCAATCTGTACTTTTGTTGGTTCCACATGAACTACTCGAAGAAATCTAACTCAGAAGCAACTTATGAACTCTTCATCCTTGAAACTACTGCCAATCTGATGTTTCCAGATTTATGTAGATTGAAGTCACCTCTGATTATTGCTGTTTATCACAAGCACCTAATATTTCTTCTTCTACACACTCTCCTATTTTGTGGATATTGTGAGGCCTGCAGATGACTTCCATTAGTGACTTCTTTTATTATTCTTCATCTCCAACAAACCAATTCTACATCAGGATCTCCTGAACCAATGTTATCTCTAGCAATTGCATAAATATTTTCCTGGATTTAACAGTACTACCCTTCCTCTTTCACTTTTATCTGGCTTCCTACTCATTTTGTATGTCACGTGTCCCTTAATATTCAGTACCCAATTCTTTTCATCCTGCAGCCACAACTCCATAATGGCTATCCAATCATATTTATTCACTTCAGTGTACTTTGCTGTGAATGTTATGTGAATTCAGGGACATAGCCTTTAGCATTTTTTTATTTCATTCATGAGATGTGGGTATCATTGGCTATCTTGTTTAGCCATAGTTGCCCTTGGAAAGGTGATGGTGAGCTGCTTTCTTGAACTGCAGCAGTACATTTGCTGTAGATACACCCACAATGCTCTTCGGGAGGCAATTCCAGGAATACGACCCAACAACAATGAAGGAATGGTGATATATTTCCAAATCAGGATAGTGAGTGACTTGGAGGGGAACTTGAAGTTGATGGTGTTCCCATGAATCTGCTGCTGTTGTCCTTCTAGATGGTAGCAGTCATTGGTTTGGAAAGTACTGTTTAAGGAGCCTTGGTACATTTCTGCAGCACATTTTGTAGATAGTACAAAGTGCTGCTACTGAGTCTTAGTGCTGGAGACACTGATTCTTTTTTCCTGTGCTGGCAAACAAGCGGGCTGCTTTGTCTTGGATTATGTCAAGTTTCTTAAGTTGTTGTTATTGTTGATTTTATTGTTATTGTTATCTTTGTAACGTCTAGTCTCGATAGTGTAATCCTAGGTTTTTGTTCTTTCTGCTTCTTTCTGCCATTCTCTAATTTTCATTTCGTGTATTACTGTTTTACCTGGTCTCCACACATCAATATATCTCATCTTTCCATATTAGATCCCTTGCTCTAACTATTTAGTTTAAAATCCTTTCTACTTTCCTAATTATGTGTTTGACAAGAAGATTGACACCCAGCAAGGTTCTGGTATAGACTGTCCCAACAATATAGCCCACACTTTCCTCAATCGTAGTGTCAGTGACCCATAATTCAAAACTCACCACTCCCCTGCCTGTCTTTGATCCATGTATTTATCTCTGTAATTTTGTGTACCCTGTGCCAACTTGTATGCGGCTTGGGCGATAATTCAGAGATTGCAATCTTCAAGTATCTTCTTTTTAATTTAGAGTCTATACTTTCCATGCAGAACCTCTTTCCTAATTCCACCTATATCAGTGGTACCTACATGGACCTTGATGATGAGTTCCACCCCTTCCACAACAAGTTCATTTCCAACTCTGAGAAGGTGTTCCAAACTATAGCACCAGGCAGTCAACATAGCACACTTTGCTGCAGAGAACAGTGCCAATTCTCCTCACTATATTACCCTCCACTATTGCTGCTGCTACTATTACTTTCTTTGTCACATCCCCCATTTGAATGGCTTCCTGTACCACAGTGCCCTGGTCAATTTGCTCATCCACCCCACAGCCTCTGCTCTCTCCCAAACAGGCTCGGATAATCTCATAGCTATTGGACAATTGTGGAGGCTGACAATGCTGCACTCCTGTACTCTTGGTCCACTTACCTGCCTTCCTCACAGTCATATCTCCTGTACTGACCATTGTCCAAATCAGAGTAGCCAATCCTAAATGGTGTGACTGCCTCTTGGCACCAAGATTCAAGGTCAGTTCCTCCTTCCCTGATGCATTGCGTCCAGCTCACAATTCTGAAGCTGTCTGAATATACTGCAGATGTATTTGCCCTGCATCACAATGGTGCTGCAGCCTGGACATATCTTCTGTCCTGCCATCCCTAATGAGGTCTAATTAATTGATTATATTCCCTTATTTCTGCTGCTTTTTATATATTTTATTAACTTTACCATCAATCGGCATATTACATTAAAACTTGGAAAAAAAACTGAACCACTTATTCGAGACTCACCAAGCAGCTGGCTCCTTTCTCTCTATTGCAGCAAGAACAAATCACAATCAACTCTGAAGACGATTTTCCTCTAGTTTGTCTTACTTTCCATATTTTTTTAACTGTAAATATTCTAATTCAAAATTCTTGGTTTAAAATCTCTGAGGATCCTCACTGAGGAATGCTGCTGTTTATACCACAATTTCCCTGGAGAGAATGCCCCACTAAATAAGATTGTAGAATCATAGCATGGTGAAAGCACAGAGGAAGGCCACAGAGGCAGCTTTCTGCAACCATGCTGACCCTCTGCAAGCATAACTCAGCCAGTTCCACTTACTTGCCTTTCCCCATGACCCTGCAAACACTTTTTTTTCTTTCTCTCTGGGTGCTTATTTAATTCAGTTCAAAAAGCTTCAAATGAATGGCTGGCATGGTGGGTCAGTGGTTAACACTGCTGCCTCACAGCAGCAGGGACCTGAGTTTTGATTCCTGCCTTGGGTGACCGTTTGCACATTCTCCAAGCGTCTGCATGGGTTTCCTCTGGGTGCTCCCGCAGTCCAAAGATGTGTAGGTCAGGTGGGTTAGTCATGGTAAATGCAGGGAAAAGGGTAGGGGGATGGGTGTGGGTGGGATGCTCTTTGGAGGGTGGGTCTGGACTTGATGGGCTGAATGGCCTGCAGGTTCTATGAACTTGCCTCCATCACACTCTGATGTCCAGTGACAGTCGGTTTCCACCTATAAAAGTCCCTAGCCAGCTGTGAAACAGTAAATCCCTAGTGACGTTCCTTCAGCACGGAACATAAAGTCTGTGCATTGCTTTCTGTTTCTTTATCCAAATGCATCACTTCTTTGCAACAAAATCCACTCGCGTCTGCCTTTCCATTTTGTTTCTTTATTATTTCACGAGATATGGTGTAGCTGACGTGACTAGCACTCAGTGCCCATTCCGAGCTGCCTTTGAACTGAATGCCTGGCTGAGCTATCTGGGAGGGTGGTTAACAGTCAAGCGCATTGCTTTGGGTCTGGTGTTACACAGAGGCCAGACCAGATGAGGACTGCAGATTACCTCCTGGTTCCTAAATGGCATTAAGTGAATCCCTTAAAATTTTGCAACAGTGGGCAGCTGTCCATTGCTGATAGCAGCTTTCGATTTGTTAACTGAATGGAAATTCCATTAGTTGCAGTGTTGGGATTTGAACCCAGGTCCCTAGCGCATTGACTTCCCGATTGCGAATCCAGTGACATTAGCACCGCCACGACCTCCCCTCAATCCACAGATCGGGCGATATCTTCTACAGACCTCTTCGCTTTATTCTGTATTTAGGTTCGTGTCATGTTGAGATTATTCTGACCCAGCTCCTTAATATTTACCAAGAGTTGCAGTTGGTTTGATACAGCCCCCTTTCAGGGTACACCCGGGCAAAATAAAAAGAACTCTCCCCTCACCCTTTTACACCAGTGGGGCTTCAATTTTGCGCGCAAGTTTGCTCTTTACCAAGCTCCTCAGCACAGCCATACCTGGCCTGTAGCTTTTATCATTCCGCATCATTTAGAATCGTATGCCCCCAAATAAGAATTCATACTGCAAATTTGCACACATTTGGCCAATGGAATCCTGGGCGTCTCCAATGGAGCGGTTTTTCCAGCTTATTTTACTCATTAGAATCTAAAGTCGCCGAAGAGCGAGGGACGTTGAGGTTGAGTCAGGGGAAAGGAAGCAAAGGAGGTTTGGAGAGGCGCCCAGTGAGCTCAGCAGGTTGACATTTTGAGGCTCTTCTCGGGTCTGCTTTTAATTTATAAATCTGGTGGAGTCGCGGGCGTGTCTCTCCGAGGATCGAGGTGGGGGTGTCCAGTTCTGATCGGAGCCCTCCAACGAGTCAGCTCTGAGCCAGGGCTCACTCTGCAGGTACAGTCACAGAGATCCCATTGCAAGCCTCCCAAGCCCGCTTTCTCCCCCGCCTCACCTACACCCAAGGCTGCAGCAACCGCGCTGGGAAATCAGGAAGCTGCAGGAAGACGCTCAGCTTTGCCCCTGAAATGCCCAGAGAGTGACAACTGAGCAACGCATCGGACTCTCCCGCCCGGCAAATTGAGGGTAAGTCGCCGAGAGCTGAGTGCCATTGGAGTTTTATCTCTACCTCAAGGCTGCTTGAAAGTAAATGTGCGTTTTAGCAATCTGCAGGGCGCTGTGTCAGTTAGCAGGAATCAGCCAGCAATGAGAGCCTGCCTGTTTCGGATGGGGAAGCTTGGCAAAACTGGAACTGTTGGAGGGGAGCTGTTCCATTCCAGTCGCTGTTGATTGATTTTTGTTTGAGGAGAGTTTCTCTCCGAGTTAGGGCTGCCTCTGCTTTGGGAGTTGAGAGGGACTGAGAGATTACAGCAAAAAGGGGGGTGATGCTGTACTTCGGTGAATTTATATCAGCGACGGATTAGAGCGAAGGAGTGTGCGGCTGATTTACGGTTTGAATGAAGTGGGACCGCTTTGGCGTGGAAAGGGAGCAAAGCGGACAACTCTGGTTTAACCGAAGGGCGTTTGGTAAACTCAGAAAGGCTTTGAGCTTGGGGGTGGGGGGTTAAGAAGAGGAAGAAAACACACACACACACAAAAATAAGCGAAGTCAGAATAGAGTTTTGGGCAAAGGCGCTGAGAGAGATCAGGGAGAGAACAATCCAACAGCAACATCTGAGTGGGGATAGAGAGAGCTGGTAATGAAACAAGAAGATGCTAGAGAGAGAGAGAGAGAGAGAAATGACCGAATGAGACGATGATTATAGCTACGACAGTGAGAAGTTAAGAGACTGGGGGAATCAGAGCGGAGTATCGAGTTCGGGCATGAAAATGACAGCAGCAGTCTCGGTAGAAAGTTAATCGCTCCAGGGGATCGCAGTTCCCCCTCCTCTGCCTTTTGCTGGTCATCGTTTTAGTTCGGTTAGCAAAATAAATGAGATGCCTTCACTGCACCGACAAATGCCAATCTCCCATTGTAACCCACCAGGTTGGTCAAAGGGGAATTTGATCTTTCATTTTAACAAAGGCTGTCTGATCTCTGCTGGATCTAACGGCACCGGTTTCTTAAAATTAGGATAGCCTTTTCGCACTTGGGGCGGTCGATCAACAGGACAGTATCAGGAACATTTAAAAGCGAATTCTCGACCAGTTTCCTCATTGCACTGAACACCGGAAGCACACCCACTCCTCATTGGGTGGAGTGAGCTTACACAGTGAACGGTAGATCTCCAGCAACTTTTAAAACTCTTTCGAAGAATAGGGGACATTGTAAGCACAGGGCTAGTCCACTCAGTGATACAGTCCCGACCTGCCTGCCAGCGCATCCCATTCTTACTGAGATCCAACTTCGTACTGAGTGGAATGTGAGGATTAAATAAAGGCAGAGGTGTCACAAACTACAGGAAAGGAATCGAGACTCTCTGTTCATTTAGGAGGTCCTCCTCTTGCAATAGAATTGGAGAGAGGGAGAGAGATACCAGTACAGATTTATGACGGACACATCATTTCACTTGGAATTTGAAAACCTGACAGTCTTTAGCAAAACAAACCGAATGTTTGAGCTGAATTGCCGTTCTATTTTATTCAAAGCGTGCACCAAGCGGTCAGTCCCCAGGGTTTTAGCAACTCTTTTGTTTCGTTTGAGTGAGAAATCGAGCTGAAATCGAGATCCAAATGCACAAATTTGAAGACGGCAGGAGGGAGCAGGGTTAGGCTAATCCCTGGGATTTTAGGAAGTAGTGGGGAAGTAAAAGGTTCGTCTGCTTTAAGGTTCCATGAAATAATAGGCGACTTCTCCCCCAGCCTTTAAAACAGGAGCGATGTGGGGACTGGCAACGCCGTTTGAAAACTCTTTCGAAGAATGGGACATTAGAAGCACAGACTTAGTGCGGTCAGTGATTCACGACCAACCTGCAGTGTATCGTGTGTAAGTGTGATTCTAGAATGAAGGGATGTGCTGAGAGGGACTGGGCCCTTGCTGTCATTGATTTATGTGGACCAATTAGACTCAGAAAGTCAATGCAAGTTGATCAAATTCTCAGAGATAATCACACTTGGAGAGATGGCAATGGAACAATCTAGATCTTGGAATTCCTTTCGCGTGGAAGCGGGCCATTCAACCCATCGAGTGCACACCAACCCTCCGGAGAACATCCCACCCAGACCCACGCTCTACCCTACACCCGCTGGACACAATGGATAACTTAGCATAACCAATCCACCTAACCTGCATTTTTTGGACCTGTGGGAGGAAACCACATAAACACAGGGAGAATGTGCAAACTCCACACAGGCAGTTGTCCAAGCTGGAATTGAACTTGGGTCTCTAGCACTGTGAGGCAGCAGTGCTAACCACTGAGCATGCCACCTCCTGTATTTGTGTGTTTGTGTGTGTGAGAGAGAGAGAGATCAGGTAGCAGTATGACAGCTGGCATTTCATTAAGGTCCTTGCAAGTTCTTACACAGAGAAAACACAGCTCATATTTAACGAAGATAGTAGGAACTGCCGATGCTGGACAATCTGAGACAACAAGGTGTAGAGCTGGATGAACACAGCAGGCCAAGCAG